CTCAAGCTCTTTGACTCAAATCAGGAGCCCCATTGGATTTATTAAATTATGTAAAAAGGTAGCACAGATATCAGGATATTATTGTGTGAACATGATGCTTTTACTTTGATCTGATCTCATTGATGTACACAACCAATTTCCAATAAAGTACTAGAACGAGCATGTCTGAGTCTTTCTTTAAAGAGTCCTAATACATATTAAACTTAGGAACTGGGGTCAAAGACTCCACTGAATTTATGGGTCATAGAGACACAGTTTGAATGTAGGAACAGAAATGGACAGAGAAGAATCAAATAGACTTCCAGGGTTCTAGATTTGGCAGGTGGGTGGAGAGCTGTGCAATTTACACAGACACAGAGTGCAGAGAAGACAGATTTTGGAAGATAAGAATTTATTGTTGGATGTGTTGTGTTTGAGGTGCTTGTGATAGTCAGGAGGACACTTTCAGGGTGCAGTTGGGAACCTGGGTCTGTTCGTTGGGATAGATCTTATGGCTGGAGTTGGGTTTTGGGGGGGGGGGTCACCTGCATAGGGCAGGTGTGGCACAGCAGTGGACAGGGGCAGCCAGGCAGAGTGTAAGGCTGAGAGGGGGAGGCGCTAGATGCAGGACCTGGAGACCACTACAGAGTAGTGGAGGGGTCTAGAGAGAACCAAGCAAAGCCAGGAGATGGAGAAGGTCAGGTGGTAAGGGGTGATAATGAGGGATCATATACGCTGAGAATTAAGGAACAAGGGGGAGCTTAGAAGTGGACACAGTGGGAACAGACAACTCTTCCCAGGAACAGGACTGTCGCACAGAGGCAGGAGGTAGAAGAGGGTATCGGGAAAAGTGGTCAAGGGTAAACAAAATGTATGCGGTTGCTGCCAGCATAAGATGGCACAGTAGTTCACAGCAGACTCTTCCTTATGAGTAGAGAGTACACTCTAGGATGCAGACCCTTCATCCCCCCGTGGACACACTGATTGAACAGCACACAGACCAATTCCATTTCTGAGAAACCTTACGATCAATTTTGAGGATCCTGTACCCAGTGTGAGAACAAACCTAGCTGTATTGGAGCTGGTTGGAACATCTGTGGCTCGGTCTTGCCATAATTCCCTCTACCCCCCCCCCCCCCCCCCCCCCGCCTCCGAGCATAGTGGCACATGGTCACAAGGAAACCCTCAGCTCCCAACTTCTCCCTGGGGAGGAAGGGAGAGGAGTGGACCCAACACCCAACGTTCTGACCTTTTCAGGGGCTGCAGGAGGGACTGGTTTCTGCCTTGCCTGAATCTAAGCACTGACAGGAAAGACCCCAGGTTGGGAGCCACTGAGAACTAAAGCAACAGCTTGGACTAATACACACTCATTTTTTTTTTGGCTAACAATACATTTAGGCCTTACTTTAATTTTTTTTTAATTAAAGTAAGTTCTGAAGGCAATAATAATCCAGAAGTCACCATAATATACCAGGCAAATGGGCATTCACGTAACCCAGTTGGTGAATGGGCGGGTATAAGCTAAAGAACTCCATTGTGTTACTGCTCTTTGGACAGTTTAACCTTGACTCCCCTGCCCCCAATAACACTCTAAGAAAGAACTGCAAGCACCAGAACCAGTAATGGAGACCAGCCAGGTTAGTCATATTGCTGGTGACTTACAGCAGAGGCACCTGTCCAATACATTCAGAAGATGACAGTCTCGGGGAAATAACATAATGTCACTATATGGGTTTTAAAAAACAATGGGGAGGATGTGGCTGGTGTGTGGGGCACTCTGGGCCTGGGCCCTGCCCTTGGTGTGGTCCTTGGGGGTGTGGGCTTGCAGTGGGGCTGGGGGCGTCGCCTACACTCAGAGCCAGAGCCCGGTGCCTGCACCCGCGAGTACTTTTACTACATGGACCACCAGGGCCAGCTTTTCCTGGATGACTCCAAAATGCAGAACTTCATCACCTGTTTCAAAGAGAGAGCTGAAGGGAGAGGGAGAGAAAGAGAAACATCCATCAGCTGCCTCCTGCCTGCACCCCAACCGGGGATGGAATCTGAAACCTGGGCATGTGCCCTGATGGAATCAAACCGGCAACCTTCTGGTACATGGGATGACACTCCACCAACCGAGCCACACCGGCCACAACAGTAGTAGGGACACAAATCTACTTCCTGATTTACCTAGTCTGAGTAGTTCGCATCAGCGGGATCATACAATATATGAACTTTGTGTGTCTGATTTTTTAAACGTAGCACCGTGGTTTTGAGGTTCATATAGTGTTTTTAACAACAATCACCACCACGATGACAATGATTAGGATTAGAATGACTGAATAGCAGCAAATTCCAGAATTGCAGCGTGTGCAATTCTGTGTGGGAACACAAATACTCCCTTGGGGGCGGGCAGGAGACCCGGACTATACTCTTTCCCGGGTAGTTGGTGTTCACTCTGGGACTCTTAGCCCATGGGTGCTCAGGAAACCAGGGTTTGTGCACGGCCTCTCCTTTCTTCACCCAGGCCCCCTGTCACTGTATCCACTATGGTGCTACTCCTTGTGAGAGAAGGTTTATAGATGGGGACCCCGAAGGTAGGTGTGCTTAGTGTGGGAAGTGAAGGGGACTCTTACCTTCCGCAGTAACAAAAGCCCTGCAGACACGCCTCGCAATTGTCAGTGTCATGTGGCCTTTCAAGAGAGATTCCTTGATTGTAGGAATCTCCTCCATGGACTTAAATCCTTCTTTACAGCATTTCTTCGGAATCCGGAACACCAGGTTGTTCAGGATCCTTGAGACGTTCTCTTCCGTGAATTCTGGAACCTCAAATGGAGGCTCAGAGCACATCTGACATCTCTGGGCAAAGATGCTCATCTTCACCTGGCCCATGGTTTCCCTCTTACTCAAGTGCCCGTGGAAAAGGGCTTACACGTGGGCAGAGGCCCAACTGCGAGCTCCAGGAGCACTCGAACCTGTGGAGGCAGAAAACGAGGCCCTCAGCTTGACCGAACCGTGGGCTGTGCCAGAGGGAACGTTACAGAGACATGGCTGGGCTGGGGTCCTGGATTGGCGGGGGACGAAGTGACCAAGTCCCTCGTTTCTATCTCCATTGTGCGCCCATAAGCTCGTGACTCACAGGTGTCTATCATTACGACAGCGGGTCACACGCTCTCAGAACCGAGGGATCTCGGGCAGCTTCTAAGTCCCACGGGATCATGTCAGAGACGAGGCACGCACCGGGAACTTGTCAGGCCCGGGGACTCCGTGGGTGTAACAGGCAGGACAAGAACCATTTCCTGACTCCAAACCAAGGCTTCTCCGAGTGTAGATTGAAGTGGGTCAAAGGCCACAAGTGAAGCAGCTGCCATTCAATCAGCCCTGAAGCACAAGTGGATACAGGTGGGTGTCTATATCTCTGGGACGTTAACTCTGGCAACCTCCCTGCAGGGTAATACAACGACATAGCCACAGTTACAGATGCACAGAGGGCCCTGGAGCCTCCTGGGTTTGGGAAAATGGGGACCACATACATCAGCAGCAGAGACCGTCCTGATTCCCAGTCCAGCTCTGCTCCATCCCAGCTGAGGGGAGCGCCCAGGCCTGGCTCTTATCTGTGAAATGGGAATGGTGTGCTGGGCTGTTCCCAGTGGGAAATGGCTGGGCAGCAGGGATGACTCTGACCTTCTGCAGTAACAGGAACCGGCCAGCAGAGGGCAAGAGCACCCAGTTACCCTGCAGCTGGGCCTTCCAGGGACTGCACAGGCCCCTCTGGACCCCTTGCACGGACTCTGGACTGGCCACTGCTCTCCTGTCTCCTTTTCAATCCCAGCTTCACAGTCCCAGCAGGAGAGAGATGGCACGCGCAAACGATTTTCTGGAAGGACTTTGGCAGAGAGACTGTTGACAGGGGTGAGAGCAGGAGGCAGCCAGCCAACCAGGGAGGTGGCACTTGGAAACAGACCATGCAAGGTCTCAGGGGGGCGGGGCCACATGAACACAGGAGCGAAGGCACCTGAACAAGGGGGTGGGGCCAGGTGAAGATTGAAGGGATGGGCCAGGAGCCCCCAGAAGCTGAAGAGGCAGGAAGGACCCTCCCCTGGAGCCCTCCGAAGGAGCACAGCCCCAGACACCCTGATTTCAGATTCTGGCCCCAGAACGGGGAGAGCACATGTTCCTGTTTGTTTAGGCCAGTCTGTGGTCATCGGAGCAGCAGCCCCAGGAAATAGACCGTTCCTTGCCCCTCCTTTTGGGGCTTTGACTGGGTTCTGGGAATTGCTGAGCCCTGTTCCCCAGCAGGGGAGACCCCTTAGACCTCTCGCTGCAGGGCTCACAGGGAGATCCATCCCTGTGTCTGCCTCGGCCCTGTCTCCCGCTCCTCCAGGCGGCTCCTTGGCAGTGACAGTGCAGTGGGCACACCAGGTCAGGCTGCTTGGTGGGAAGTGCAGGCTACGTGGCTCGGGGACTCATGGCGGCCTTGCTGCAGGATGATGGAGGGCACTCCCCAGTCCCGCCCTTACCTCCCAGGCCTTCCCCCTAATGAGTCCAGCCTGGACCTCAGCTTCCTGGAGTATCTGGGTTGACAGGAGCCAGCAACTGGTTGTCATGCCCATATTCTAGATGCCAAAACTGAGGCTCAGAGAGGGGGAGCAGAGGTCCCTACCCCTACCCCACCTCCCCCTCAACCCAGCCCAGCTCACAGGTGGCTTCCCCAGCTGCCACCTGGTTGCTATGATGTCGGAGGAGGAGAAGATTTCTGAGAAGTGTTAGGTTAGGTGGCTCAGGAGGCGGCGCAAGAAATAGAGTCCAGTGAATCAGAAAAGAAAGGAAAGGAAAAGGTTTATTCTGCGTCCCCGGGAGACCCACGTACCCCAAGGACAGGGCACGTGGATTCACACCAACAGGGAGGGGGGCGCTTTTTTTATACTGCGGTTGGGTGAGGGGCGGGGACATGAGCTGAGGAATTCTCTGCTGCAGGGAATGGGCGGAATATTCAGGACGAAGTTCTTATCTGTGTGGGGGTATGTGAATTCAGGGAGAAGAAGCTGGTATCTGTGTCTGGCACCTTGATCTGTGAGAAATTCCAGGGGAAGTCCATTATCTTGTCATGTCTGCATGTATCCGATCCTGGGCTCTCTCCAACCTAACATCCCGGCCTTTTGGTGATAGGGGACGACGACTCTTTCTAGCTACTTCCAGCTGACCACGGGCGGCGTAGGGGGGGCGGTTAAAGGCCAGGGTTTGGCAGAGGCAGGTCGGAGGGGAGCCGAGTGTAGGGATTGAGCAGGAGCTGATTCACAGTCACTCGTGACATCTCCGAGATTCGGGAGTGGATGAACTTGAGGAGGCAGGGGGCTAGGAGAAAAAAGAACACAGATGAGAATCAGGGGCCCTATCATGGGTAGGACCCAGGTGGCTAAGGGGCTTTGGAACCAGCCGGAAGGAGAGTTGTTCTGGAAGTGTCCTGCATGTAGTTCTTCACTCAGCTTAGTCAGGGTCTGTACGTTTACGTTTTGCTCCACTACTCCGGACTCGATGTAGTAACAGCATTCTTCCTGAAGGAATATGCAGGTTCCTCCTTTTTCTGCAGTCAGAAGGTCTGAGGCGAGCTGGTTCTGCAGGGCTACTTGGGCTACTGATGTCACTTGTCACTGTAGGGAGGCTAAAAAGAGGCGGTAGTAGACTCCACGGCTAACTGGAGCTTGTCATTAAAGTACTGAGCAGTGACCAGACTGTTCCCGAGGTCCCCCCAGTGAGGCCTACTGAGGCAGCGATACTCACCCCTAAAATGACAGGGGGGAAGGCAGCCCAGCGGGTCCAGGGATGGGATGGAGGGAGCAACCAGTGAGCTCCGACTCTCCATACAAGGTTAGTTGGGGAACTACTGTGACCACGAAGCAAGGCCTGGGGTCAGAGGAGTTCATGCAGTTCCTTAAGGTGCCGTTGCACCAAAAGAAGGTACCTGGGCTGGCCTTGGTGAGACTGGCTGCAATGTGGTATGATAGTCTCTTCTGTGGCAACCCCATAGGTGTTGACATCTTGATTACATCTGTCTGGGTTCCGCTGGTTGTAAGCAAAACAGACATAGGGTCAGCCAGTTTTGGACACTGACTGGATGTCGACAGCCATCTGGATCTTTGTCTGACATCCGAACAGAGGGCAGTCCTGAGATCCTACCTGCCAGGTGACTTGTTTGCTGTTCTGGTAGTAGGTTTCACGGACCTTGAACCTCCACACATAAGCGGGTGGGGGTGGGTGTAGGTTGCTCAGGGCCAGGAGGAGAAGGAGGAGGGGAGGGCGGTTAAGGCAGACCTTAGTGGGGCCCAACACCTCACATTTATAGAAGTCATGCTGCTCCGGGGTCCTCTTGAGTCTGGAGAGGTGGTGCCAGGACAGGTCGTCAAGCTGGAGTCGCCAAGCAGCTTGGCCGCAGTGGGGGCTGAGAGGATTACAGTGTGAAGTCCCGTCCACCTAGGCTCCAAGGCTTGTGGTTGTAGGTTCTTAAGGAGGACCGAGTCACCAGTGTGAAGGGCTGGACTTGGGAGTCCTGGTCGGTCGGCTCTGGCTTGGGCAGAAACCTGCTCTCGTGTTCTCAGAGCAATTGCCTGGTTAAAGACAGATATGGGAGAGACGTACCCAGGGGAGGGGGATCAGTCAGAAGACGGTGGTTGAGCAAGAAGAGTCAAAAGGGCTCAAGAAAATGGGGCTCCTTGGTGTAGCTGGAGTTTGGCCAGGGCCATGGGCAGGAGGTCCGGCCAGGAGCTGCGAATTTCTAGAGAGAGTTTAGTTAGATGGTTCAATAGGTTGGAATTGAGTGGCTATGATGAGGGTTCGAGCCAGTGACAGAAATCCAGCAGGATGTAGAGGAGGAGGGATTGATGTTAGAGAGTAGATGGGAAGTTGTGTTGATGAGGGTGGGCATAGGAGTAGGTCCAGGGTTCGTAGAGAGCGACATTAGAGGATTTCCCATCCAGACAGTAGAATTGATGACTCCCTCATCATTCCGTGTCCGTTTCACCTGAAAATATGAAAAACCTGAGCAGAATTGGAGGGTCCCTTGCCAGGTAAGAGCCTGTGAGGAATGTGTCATCCGGTCCTGGATGGTGTCGCCGAATCTTCTTCGGGGATGGTGGGAGGCACTCGGTGAGCCTGAGAGAGGTAGGTATTGCAACGAAAGTGGGAGAAAACATTAAAATGCGCTGATATCCAAAGGAAAATGGAAGGAGCAGTGGAAGCCAGGGACCTGGAGGCTGAAGAAAAGGCGGAGAGGGAGGGAGCAGGTCGCGCAGCCTGTTCCCAGACCTCTAGCCGCTTGGATTTTAAAACTGCCGCATTTTTTCCTTTGGGGAGGGTGGAGGGGGATGGGGCGAGGTCAGAGCAGTTTTCAGTTCAGAGGAGGGGACAGTTGTGGTGGAGAGAAGGAGAAAAGGCATTCACAGCAAAGACTGAGGTAGGCAATGACTGAGCTAGGCAAAGACTGAGCTAGGCTACTGTGGTCTGGGACAACAGGGCCCCATGACGGGATGCATGGCAGTGGAGGATCGGTGTCCCTGTAAAGGGAGGGGGCCAGGAGTGGGAGGAGCAGGGAAGCTGAAGGGCTCAGAGTGAGCTGCAGAGTGGCCACTAGGATGGTGAGGATGTCTCGTCCTAACAGGGGCATGGGGCATGCTATCATCAAGGAGGCAGGGAAGGGGTCCAGTGGCCAGAGGGCAGGTGGATTGCCGTCAATACCCATGTCCGAGATCTTGGAAGGATAAAGGGGCCCTAAAAAGGAGGGCAGGACAGAGAAGGCAGCCCCCATGTCAACCGGGAAGGTGACCTACTACCTTCATTGTGACCCGAGGCTCAGCGAGGGGATTGGAGTCATCGAGGCTGGGCTTCTTCAGTCTTCAGCCAGTTCCAACATGGCCAGCGGGTGGGTCCTGGACTGGAAGGGTGGTCCCCCTATGCTGAGGCGTAAGGGGCCCGCCACTTTTCCAGGGACACTCTTCCAGTGACCATTTTGACCGCATGCCGGGCAGGGCTTGGTCGGAGCTTGGGGCCAGGGGCACTGCATTGCCCAGTGGCCTTCATTTCCACATTTGAAGCATTCTCCGGTGGCGTTCCTTTCGTTGCACCCCCACCGCGCACAGCCCCCTTAGGGCCATGGCGGCTGCCGTCCACCTCAGGGCCACAAACAACTAAGGCGTGTCTGCAGGTCTACCTCCTGTGGAAGGCAGGCCTCCCATCCTGACTGTGCCTGCTCCTCCAGGGCATTAAGAACCTTCAAGGCCATTTTTCACTCGATCTCGGACCTGGGTTTGAGGACCAATGAAGACCTTAAAGTCGGGTTAGAGTGGGGAGCATAGATTCAGACTATGCCCTCAGTTCCTGGACGGGACTATGGCAGGGGTAGAATGGGCGCAGAAATGGAAGAGGCTGTTTTGGAGCTGACGTTCTTAGGAGTTGGGCTCTAGGGGAGAAGGAAGCTTCGCGTTAAGAGGGTCTGAAGAGAGCACAGCTGCAACCTCTCGCAAAGGGAACTGGTCGGCCACCTGTGAACTAAAGTGCTGGCAGTCATGGGGGCGGAGTTTCAGCGGAAGGCGGACGGTTAGACCTTACAGAGGGCACTGAGTGGGGTACAGGTTACTAAGGCAGGCCTGTAATGGAAGGGGAGAGAGCGGGAGAGGTGGCCTGGGTGGGTTTGGGAGAGGTATTGGCAGTTGAGTTTAAAAGCTGCAACCTCCCAGGGGCAGAACGGAGGAGGAAGGACAGAAGGAAGGTAGAGCCTACGGAGGCGTGTGTGCACCGACTGGGAAAGCAGGCAGAGGCGGCAGGGGACTTGAGTTGCCAGCTCCCGCAGTGGCTACGGCTTTAGCGGCTGCGGCTTTAGCAGCTGTGGCGGTGCGCGGACAGACCGACTGCGTGGCGCCGGAGGCATGCAGGGACGGAGGTGGGGTTGTGAAAGGCGGTTTGAGTTTTCGGCCGCGGTGGGGCGGGGGGAAGAGGGGAGGCGGGGTCAGTGGGTCGACGGAAGGCGTGGCTGGAGGAGAGTCCGGCAGGGAGGGAGGAGGGGAGAGTGTGGACGGACTGGGGCACGAGGCCGGTGGGAGAGCGGCGGCTTACGGGGGAATTTGTGGTGGCCTCTGGTGAAGGGGGGGGTGGGAGAGCACGGAGACAATGATGATGATTACGGCGCTCCGCCACCCACACACAGCACATGAACCCACCCCCACATGCACCGCACACACCGCGGGCTCAGCGGTGCGGGGAGCGGCACGGCGCAGGGACAGCCCGGAGGGAGGAGGAAGGACAGGAGGAGGAGAAATGGCGGAAGGAACTTTGGGGGGGGGGGGGGACGGGGAACGCAGAGAGATGGAGAGAGGCTTAAAGAGAGACTGAGAGAGACTGAGAGAGAGACTTGGGCAAATTTCCCAATTCGCTGGCAGAAATTACTGAGGTCGGTGTGACGGTAAAGTCAGGGTCCCGTTTTCATACTGAGGACACAGGTCCGGGGCAGGCCCAGCGTTTAGCCAGATCAGCGAGCAGGCACCCTAGAGGTGTGCTCAGGTCAGGTTTGGAATTTGGATTCCCCCTGTGCTTGATCCCTGTGGCCTGTAGCGGGGCTAAAGGCTGGCGTCCCAGCAGTTTAACCCACGCTACGGAGGGACGGAGGGACCGTGGGCGGGGTAGAGGCGTCCCTGCTACCCCCCCAGGTCCGGAGGAGCCTTCCTGGAAGGGTCCGGAGAGGCAATCTCTGACGTGGCCACGGTTTACGGACAGAGATGCCGGCGGGCGGGCGGCCACCTGGGACCGGCACGGGGCAGGGCGGGACTCACCGCTGATGCTGCCAAACTGGGAAAAGTTGCTGAGCTGAAGAGATGAGGTCCTGATGGGTCCAGAGCCACGAGGAGGGAGAGGCGGGCACCCAGAGCCGTGAAGGGACGGCCAAATGGAGTGCTCGCGCCACCCGGGTTTCAAGGCACCAAATGTTAGGTTAGGTGGCTCAGGAGGCGGCGCAAGAAATAGAGTCCAGTGAATCAGAAAAGAAAGGAAAGGAAAAGGTTTATTCTGCGTCCCCGGGAGACCCACGTACCCCAAGGACAGGGCACGTGGATTCACACCAACAGGGAGGGGGGCGCTTTTTTTATACTGCGGTTGGGTGAGGGGCGGGGACATGAGCTGAGGAATTCTCTGCTGCAGGGAATGGGCGGAATATTCAGGACGAAGTTCTTATCTGTGTGGGGGTATGTGAATTCAGGGAGAAGAAGCTGGTATCTGTGTCTGGCACCTTGATCTGTGAGAAATTCCAGGGGAAGTCCATTATCTTGTCATGTCTGCATGTATCCGATCCTGGGCTCTCTCCAACCTAACAAGAAGCGATCCAAAAATAAACACCAGCTGGTCCCTTTCCTCCCTCTCTCCAGCTTCACAGCCTCCGTTTGTGCAGGTCAGCAGGGGCCTCTTCCTGGCCAGGCAGCCAGGAGCAAAGGAGGTCAAGGAGGCAGAGGGTCCAGGTAGTGGGTTCTGGGACCCCAACCTCACCCAGCAGATTTCCTGCACCTGGGCTCCATCTCCATCCCACAGTCCCCAGGCCAGGCGGGCTGTTTCCTGCCTCCCTGCCTTCACGCATGCAGTTCCCTCCACCTTGAATGCCCTTCCTCATCCTTCCAATCTTAGCTCGGCTTTAACTCCACTTAAACGGTGCAGGATGCAGGGGGAGCCCCAAGTGAACCTTCCCTGAGTCACCTGGGGCTCCCTCTGCATCCCGCACCGTTTTCTGGATGATGCTCTCACGGGGCGGTGAGGTCTTGGGGTGCTAGCTTTGCCTTTGTACCCCAGCCCCTGGCACAGACAGGTGCTCAGTGAACCCAGAAGGAAGGGAAGGAGGGAGGGAGGGAAGGGAGCGAAGAAACGCGTCTTATAGGATTGGAGAGGATCTGGACCGTGAGCACCTGGCACAGGCCTGGGCACGGAGCAAAGCCCACTCTCTTCCTGCCGCCTCCACTGAGCCCGGGCTCCAGCACCTTCTGCCTCATCTGATTCGCAGCCGGCTCAGGGGTCCTCTCCATACCCACAGGCCTGTGTCTGTTGTCCATTTGGATGCAAGGTAATTGCACCAGGATGCAGACGTGCACTTAACTTTATAAGGAGCTAGTGTGTTGGGGAGAAAGGCCTCCATTCTCTGAAATCCTGACTGTGCAAACTTGCAAGGGCCTGAGGGCTGACCTTGAGCAGGGTTTTTCAAACGGTTTTCACACTGAATACAGTGGGGCCTCCGAATGAATTAAACTTGTAAGTCAAGGCCCCACTGTACTTTCTGCAAACAAAGCCTTACCTGACGGCCATTATATAAAACAGATGGAAACTAAGCTGCTTGGGGTGAAGTGGTGGATGTTGAAGGTGACTGGGAGATGGGACTCTGTAGCTCTGGGCCCTGGGGAGATGGGGGTTGGGGTTGGTCCTGGCGGTGGGATGGGGCAGCCAGGAGAGAGGAGGGCCCTGGGGAGAGTTCAGTATCTGACATTTACTCACTGGTACAGAAGGGCTTCAGTATTTTCAGAACTGCGTGTTCACGCCAGTGTGGCTGGGCCAACGAACTCATCTTTCACAGCAAGAAGTCAGTTTATACAAACAAAAATGAAAATATGTCCTTGGAAAAAATCATAATGACTTCAACCTTTAATGTTCTCAGTTTCTTCATTTTTTTTTTTTAATCTTGAAGGGATATTTTAGGGGAGGTATCTCTTGCCTAGAGGAAATATATGAATTCAGCAATCCCATCAACTTCTTTTTCTTTTGTGAAGTTCAAGTAAAATTAAATTTAAAATTGTCTAAAAAAAAATAACGCTTGCATGTAATTGCTATAATGTGCATTTTTGAGCCAATTGTGAAACTAGTCTGTGACTATTGGTTTAGTCTGTTGTTAAATTCACACAAGATTGTTGCAGTTTATTTTTTTAAACCTATTCATGAGTGTCTATTTTAAATTTAAAATTGTTATGCCACTACAAAAAAAAAACCGCAAAAAGTTCTGGAGGGGAGAGCAGATGAGCTCTACGGGGCACAAGAGAGCAGAGCTGACCGGTCACTGGTAC